GTTCACCCATTTGCATAAGGACCTACAACAGTATTTAACATACTGCATGGATTGGAGGAGTCTACCCATTCAACACCTTTTCAACAAAGCTGACAGTGAGCCAAGTTATTCACATCACGGGCATCATTTACTCGGCCACAAAAACTAACTTACAACTTAATTGTGCGTGTAAAAATTGGGCCACAGGAGCATAACCTCCTACAACAATAACCGGAATGGAACAATTCAATATTCCGGACCGGAAACAAGTAAGCACTATACCTTGCGATTAATAACGAAAAGCGGCGATGTCCACTCTAAAATTCTAGTTAAAATCCTATGATCAATAATTATATGAGTAGGCATTATCGGTATTTGGCAGAAACGCTGATCGTCACACTGATTTTCACTGGTTGTTTACGTTTCCATGAAGGCGCGGGAAATGCGCAGTGGGGGGTGGGGATGAGGAGAGGGGTAGGGGACGCGGCACGGCAACGGGGGAGAGCAATAATTACGGCATACTCACCGACATACCGGGTGTCCGTCGCTCGGGGCGTGGAAGGCCGCTGGTTCGAATAACGTTCATCCCACATTTTTCGAGCTTTTGCCACCCAATATTTCCGTTTGACAGGAGACAAGAAGCGACGAAAAAAAAATTGCGCTAGCCGTGAGTCGAACCCCGGGCGCATGATCTCAGACGTTGATACTTTTGTGCGCTCGGCTATCCGATCGTCTTCTCCTCTATGAGCACGATTTAGCGCGCTCGGCCGCCCGCCCGTCTTCTCCACTGCGCGTTCAAAGTAGGTCCTGTATTACGGGAGACAAGGAGCGACGCCAGTCAGTGGGGGTTCCACCGACCTATAACCGGCGGCCTCCTCGCGGGGCATACACCCTATCCAGTCGCAGCCACAGCAGGGCGCCTGTGGGTAGGCCACCGGCTCCGTACACGTGCCGCCACATTGCCTACACTCCAGGCACCCTCTACTATGGGAGGTTTTCTCCAAAACTGCGGCGACCTCTGACCTTTGACCTCTTGACCTTGTGGCTCGTATAATGGCCGTGTGCCCACCGGGGCAGTGAGTGTCCGCGCTCCCGCGAGCGGACGGCGATGACTCGGGCGATGACGCCCGGGCGGGGGATCGAACCTGCGACCTCGCGGGCGCACGGACACTCGCTGCCCAGGACGCCACACGGCCACCACGGGCTGATAAGGGGCTCGGCGTCAACCGCTGAACCGCAGCCCTATAGATAAGCGCGCCCTCCACCGGCTCAGGTGAGGGGGGGGCTGGAAGCAGCGCACCGTGCAGCAAACGCCAAGAGATAACGCTGATAGTAGTGGGGCACTATCCTCTCAGGGATCTCTCAATTAGACTCGGGGTTCGCCAATTACTAATTTAGTATTTCTTGTCGGTGCCGTGACAAATTTAGCCGACCGGCGAGGATAGATATATATCATGGACGACCAAAATCTTTCTTTTCTT